TTTTAAAATAAAAATATTTTCAGATAGTTGACAGTAGGATACAGTGTACACTGGCGAGCGTGAAGTTATTGAACCCGATTAACCTCATAATGGAATGTTAATATGTTTACATTGGTCAAATATTAACTCTATATACAAACACTTGACAATACTTAATGGTTTATTATCAGCAGGCTGTACAATGACATTGATGCTACTCAGCATGGTACGCATGCGTCAACATTCTCAATGCATTTAGCGTGATTATATCAATCCAAACCTAAGGTAACTAGACACATTGATAAATATCATGATGCATTCAGTAAATTGAAAACAAGACATTTATGGAGGTATGCAGCCAGCATGATGTCACTGGCAATACTAAAAGAACGGGTAAAGTGAAATTAAACAATAAACGAGGCCATGTGCTTTTAGAGACCAGTCTGCAAAAACCTGTACTATCCGGTTAGATGATTTTAAGGTGGTATGAAACAAACATATATTATGATTTCCAGTAACCTACAGCCAGCACCTGGTCAATGATGGATCTATTATAGAACACCGACAATAAGCTGTAACGAATCCAGAATAATTGCATGACAAGTGACAATGTAGATATTCCTAAATCATGTGATAATTGTTTCTGTACTATATCTATTCTACTCAGAGAAATATTTGTTTGACTTTACACAATTTTGATATCCAATTTGCTTTTCATCATAATATGAACTGAAATATATATTTAATATTCCTGGCTAATATTAAGTTTCATATCAACGATAACGTTTTTGTGTACGAGGGCGCCCTACAACACATTCCGACTTCGATAGCACGAGGGGGGGGGGGCATAGAACCCGAACTACACAAGAACGGAATGTTAATTTGTTTACACTGGTGCAATATTAACTCAATAAACAAACACTTGACAACACATAATAGCTTGACTGTATGGCTGTGTACGTAATACGTACTACACATTGTGTATTGCATGCAAGCTTGAAAACACTTCACGACCATTAACATTTCGTTGGCATGGTGATATTTTTTCCTTCTATGGAAATTTGTATTCATAATACAAGAGTTGTCAGAACGAGTCAGATTAAAAGATCCAAATATAGTGTGTGTGTAGTTATTGGCAGTTAATATGGTTAATGGTTCAAATAAATCAGAATACTGTCTCACGTCTGCTTATAAAGCCTAACGAATGAACGAGGAGATCGATTTGAAGTAACTTTGTCAGTACTGCAATAACTACGATGCCTACAGACGACGCATTTATGCAGTGTTGTAGCTATATTATACAGACGATATGACCTGAACGCTGATTGGTCAACGTGATGTAAACATAACATAAGAGTTCCATAATTACATGCAGGTTATGACTTTTTGACCCCATGTAATCCATTTACCTGCTACACTGACAAGTGTAAACACAGTATGTTTGTTTATCGATAAAATTCGTCATTGAAATAATACTTCATGTGAGAATCGACGAAGAACTTAAACAAAGGATAAATTATTTCTTGGTCACGTGGTAGTACGCTGCCCAATAGCAGTGTAGTATTTTGAGATATTGCTGAATCTATGTTTATCACATGATGTTGAAAATACGTTTATATTACAGACTGTA